GACGAAATGAGGTATGCAGCCATTTAAAATGTTGCAACCATGATGTCCTGTGTCTTGGAAGCGCTTCTTGTTTTGCCCCGTGATAATTTAGCAGCAGCAACAGGATGCCCTTGAGCCAAGACACAAGGCAGGAAGGACTCCTTGCTGGACTCTAACAAGGACTCACATGTTGGACCTCACAAAAACAGCACAAGAGACCCATCAACTCCCATGTCCCCAACTGAACTGGTAGCAGGACTGTAACAAGAGAGACAGGAACCTGGCCAAAAGGCTCTAACCAAGCCAGATGGTAAAAAGGCATTTGTAAGGAATGTTCCTGCCCCTGTCCTCTGCTATAGCTACACAGGAGGATTCCAGGAAACGTGAAAAAATGTAAGACCTCCCTCCAAAGCTTCTAAACCCCCACTTCACTTCCAGCATTGGAAAACTATACATAAACAAGGCTTTTTGAAGCTAACAGAGCCTAATGTTTACTCTCCTAAGGATGCCTTATATGGCAGAAAGTCAAGCTGTGATTTTTTAAGGAAAAAGATTTGCTTTAGTTGACAGGAGACTTTGAAGTAAAATCCAAATTAGGGACAGTCTTTATATTAGAGATTTACACTGAGTAGGATGAATTTTTAAAATTACACATAGCCCAAGTCCTTATTTATTGCACAAAGAACCACGGAATTCTTTCTAAATGCAAGTAAAGTAAATCCTTACAGTTCATTTAAGCTGTGTCGGGGGTACAGTAGTTTTTCCCCATTTTGCAATTCCCTAATGATGTATATGAGCTGATGATGCTGGAAAAATTAGGAATAGATGTAAAAACTCAAAACTGAGAACATAGAGAGAAACTGGACTCTGGTATCCTGCCTTCTCTGATCGCCCAAGGACTTAGCACATTCTGTCAAGCCTCTCAGCTCCCAACAAGTTAGGAACTTGAGGAACTGGCTGTGGTAACTTCCTTTAAGCTTGATAACTATTCATTCTGCTTCACTGAGTACCTCTTATGTTTCTAACTTGTAGAAATCTGAGAATCCTGATTTCAGATTTCATGAACTAATTCTACATTCCATCTCAAATCATTCGGACTAAAGCCATAATGGGCTTGGTATAGCTATGAGATATGTGGGAAGGAGACTGGGGGTATTGCAGTTGATCCTGAACAAAGGATTGAAATAATTTGCAGTTCATAAGGAAAGGACTCCAAATTTCCAAAACCTTTTTGTCAATTCTTTGGGATTAGAACAAGTATGACTACCCACAACTGTGTTCTAACCCCACTTTCAATCACCTGCCTTAGCTGTAGTCAGAATCCAGAGTGTTCTCGAAAATCACACAGTCAGCAGCTCCTCGGCTAGTCCGGTCTGGCAATCTCGAGTCACTGCAGCTGCCCAGCAGTGCCAACAGCTCCCAAGCAGTTTCCCTCCTCCTTTGCAGCTTAATTTAAGAAAAAGCAGTCCTGGGAGGAATGAGGATCCCACTCAGGAAGGATGGGGGGAGAAGAGTTTGACAGGCAGAGCATGAGACAAGCCCCTTCACTCTTCCTCCTTTATCATCTTCGATTTCTGGGGTAACCAAGGGGAGGCGGAGCTGACCAGGTCAATAACGGAGACACACAATCACCGCGGACCCAGACTAGTAGTCACTGCAATATGATTACTGGGGAAATGATGAGAGGAGAAAGAGGACTTCGGAGATGCAAAGTACTGACCGAAAACAATACACTGGTTAACAAGAGAAGACGGGGGTCAGGGGCGATGTAAGGAAGTTGTCTTCGTCGCCTCGCCGCCTCCCCCACCCCGCAACAGCCCTCTGAGATCCCCTCCAAGACCCGACCTTTATCATTAGGACCACCTTCCTCCCAGATGGAACAAGGCCGTGCCTCAGCTCCCACGCCAGGCGGAAGCTGGAGAGGAAGGCCGACCCCCAGAGCGCACCTTCAGGGGGTCCGTCCGGACCTGATCTCAGATGCAAGGGGGGGCTCGCAGAGGGCGGGGCATCGCCTTAACAGCTGGGGTCTGAATCATAGCAGGGACCGGTTCCCCTGAGCCATAGAGCTGAAGCTCGTCCCCTTCACTACCCTGCCACCCGGTTACCTCTTCGCCTCTTCGTCGTCAAGCAGCTCTGGCTCGGTCGCCGCCATTACCACATCGCACTCAGAGGCAGCCGCCATCTTACCGCCGGGACCAGAGAGCCGGGTGGGAGGCGGGCGGTGAAGAGCACTTCCGGCCGGAGCATCGAGCAGCTCAGCGGCGCCGCGCCCAGAGGGGCTCCCTCGGGCCCGTCTACCAGCGAGAGGCTCCGCTTGGGGCCAGAGCGGCCTCCCGCTCCCGGAGGTCCACGGTGGTCTCCGGCCTGGGGCGGGGGCCCAGGGACGGCTTCTGTGCGTGGGAGGTGCCACTTTGCCCGTGGGTCGGAAGGAGCTACAAGAGGTTGTCACGCCTCCAAGCCTTGGCTTTCCTCAGGATTTCAAGGGCCTTGTTGCCATAGCAATGTCCAACCCTAGAGAGTCTCCTGTAACGCTCAGGGGAGTCTGGGCCGGGTAGGGATCGGGTTACCCAGGACTCTGGAGGGTAAGAGCCCCCAGTACTACCTTGCCGACCTTGAAGAGTGACCAGAGCTTCCTCCCGGGAAAGGCAAGAAGAGACACTTTGAGCCCAGTCCCCCAACTTTCATCGGCCCCTAGAAGCCCCGCCCAACCAAGCCCGGGGAACGCAGGGCGTCTTCACCCCGCGCCTTTCATCCCCTTCGGATCTCCAAGCACTAACTGGTTCATCATCCTGATGACGCTGACCCTTTTATGAGGCTGCTTTCATGTCAGCCGCCTGGGAGTGCCATCTCAGCATTAAGCCTAGGGAGGGTGGCACGGCGCCCCAGTCCCTGCCCTGGAGTTTATAAGGCAGTTCACGGGGTGAGGTCCCTGCTCCACAGTGTCGCCAGGGCTCTCACCCCTCATACAAACTCCCGGCTCAGCACGCTTGTCTTGCTGAATGTAGTCTGGGTTGGGAACACAGAGAGGGCAAGGGCACAGCTCAATCATCTTGAAACTTCTTCCCTCACCCAAACCAATATTTGTGGACTTAAATCGGGGAAGGAGTTTCTGAGGTCAAAAATTAAGGGGAACTAAAATAACAAGAGGCAAGGTAATTTTAAAAAGGATCTACTACTTACCGCCAATCACTGGATAGGGAAGGATAGGAGAGGTTCAGTGTGAGTTGGATTCGAGAAGGCAATACAGTGGTCTTTGGGTCATTCATCTAGCCAATCATTCAATAACTCTCTACAAGGTGCTTACTTGGTGTTAGATTGGGAAGGCACAGACTCATAGACCACCTGCCCTGCTACAGTCTAATGCAGGAGGCTGGCCTGTCTTTGATCATCTTCCCACTTTGTGTTCTCCGTAGCTAAGCCAACTCATCTACTCCTGCAACTTTTAATTTCATCTGTTATTGACTCCCAAAATATTTATCTTCAACCTCTCTTTTGAATTCCAGATCTATATATCCAACTATCTACTGGCATCTCTTGGATGTTTCACAGTTCCCCAAGACTTAAGATGTTTAAACTTACCATTTTCTCCCCACTCCTCAACAACAGAAAAAAAGAAATGCTGTACTTATCTTTTCCTGAATTCCCTATCTATTTGAACGGATTCACCATTCACTCTGTCACCAAATGAGAAAGATAGGAGACATCATGAATTCCTCCCTCTTTCTCACTCCTGACTCCCATTTTATCACCAAATCTTATTGATTCTCTCACCAAGTATCTCCCAGATCTATCTCCTCCTTTCCGTCACAATTCAGGCTCTCATCATTTTTTTCAACTTGAAATACTGCGGTAGGCTCCTAACCAGTCCTCCAGTCTCATCTCTCTCCAATCTTCTGCCAGAAATGACCTTCCTGCATCTTAAAACTGATCATGTCACTTGACTGGCATAAAAGCTATCAATGGCTTTCCAGTGGTGGAAAGGATATAGTTCCATCTCTGCCTACCACCCAAAGCCTTTTTCTACTATCAATATATTTTTAAAATTTTATTTATTTTGTTGTTGAGAATATACGCCACAAAACATACACCCATTCAACTGTTTCTACGTGTACAATTCGGTGACAGTGATTACATTCTTCCAGTTGTGCCACCATTCTCACCCTCCTTTTCTGAGCAATCCTCCCCCATTAACAAAGTCACTGGCCCCTAAGGTTCCTATCTAATCTTTCAAGTTGCTGTTGTCAGTTTGATCCCATATACATAGTTCTTAAAAGAGCATACTGCTCAAGGCAGACATTTTTTGCTAGTTAAGCTAAATTATTGTTTGATTTTAAGACTTAAGGGGTTATTTTTGGTTTAAGGTTTAAAGATTACCTCAGGGCTCTACTATCAATATTGAACCCAAATATTTTTAGTTCCAGAAAATGCTATGACTCTTACCATGTTTCCTCCATCCCAGAACACCGTTTCCCTCCAAGCCCTTTAAACAGATACAACCTCCTCCAGGAAGTTTTCCTTAAGGCTCACTGACCCCAAGATAGATGCCCCTTTGCTGTGCTCCTATACCACCTCTGTAATAGTACTTAACCATGTTGTACTGTAATTGTTGGTTTACATGTCTAGCTCTTATAGATGGTGAAGTTCTGGTGGGCAGCTACCATGTCTGATGGTCCCCTTTTTCCCAGCACGTGGCCCTACACCTGGCACAGAGTTAACTCAGGAAACACTTAACAAATAAATGATTGGATAAACGAAGGTTACTGTGCTATGGTAGCCTATAGAGAACATTTGGGCAGCAGAGACACCAGAACAGCATTCTGCATCCAAGGAGCCCAGAACGGTGCGCTCCTGCCCACAACCAGGCCAGATTCTGACCGTCGTTTCCCCCGCCGGCCTCTGGGGGCGCTGTGCGGGTGGCGCCCGCTCTCCGCGGTCGGAGTTCGTCTTGCGCGACGGAAGTTGGGGGGCGGGCACGCGGAAGGGGGCGGGGCCAGACGGAGCCAGGAACAACCCGGGAGGAAGAGGGGGTTTTGTGCGACGGTGCTGCCCGTCGCATGGTCCCGGTTCAGTTCTAGGGGCCCGGCTAGGGTGCTGCGAGGGCCCGGGGAGGTACAAAGCTGGGAGGCTGGGCTCTTTCAGCGACGGGAATCGGTCACCGCCTCCGGGCCGCTTTAGGTGGCAGGTCTGTGCTTTGGATTCTCCCTGGGGCTCCCCTCGTGGGAGAATCTGTGACGGAGACCCCTTTGGCAGTCTATTTTGGGATATCCCTTAATTGGGAAGCTCTCTATATGGGGCTCAAGTTGGGGTTGGGGTTGGGGGGTCTGTCAGGAGCTTCTTCTGGAGAGGTTTCTGTGTGAGGGTTCCCTTTGGGATTGGTCTCTGTATCTCTGCTTTCTAGGGGAATCTTTGCCTAGTGTGCCTTTTGGAGGTCTGTGTCTGGGGCCTTCTCTGGAGGGCCTTTTAGTCCAAGGGCTTTTATATTATCCTCCTGCAGCAAAAATTATCTCCTTTCCGAAGCCTTTTTTCCTTAGATTCCTTCGCTCCTTCCTCACTTGTCCGATGTTCTTCATCGTAGCAATGAACTTGACGGGGATTTAGAGGAAATCAGTTGTTGTCCAGATAAATCATATAGGGAAGCTAATTATCCTGGTTGATTTGTTCAGTCTTCCTTAGGGAGCAGGTGGATTAAGATAGATCCACAAAAATAAAATTTCTGCTTATTTCACCATAGGTTTGTGGTTAAAAGGAGAAAACTGGGCCAAGGAAGGGGGCCTTCATTAACAAGTCTTGTCAACATCCTGTGCACAGAAAGGTACTTGGCCAGTGGTTAAACCAGTGGCTCTCCTCCTCCTTTACTGCAACATTTACTGAGTACCTGCTGTAGCTCAGGTACTGAGAATAACAAAGATGAATAAAACTCAGCTTACTGTCTAGAAGTGGATGTGGATATATCAGTTCAGTATAGCCAATTTGCGTAGAGGATGGTGCCGAATCCCTGAGGCTATGCATTTGGTTCAGAATTTGGGCTCTCTGTTGTGGGAAGTCTACCCTCTGTTTTGATCCTCTTTTCTCACCTCACCGTGTGTCCTGTTTCTCAAGGTCAAAGGCTAACTATGGGGAAGAGCTGCAAAGTGGTTGTCTGTGGCCAGGCATCTGTGGGCAAAACTTCAATCCTGGAGCAGCTTCTATACGGGAACCATGTAGTTGGTGAGTGTTGGTGGAGGTGGAAGAAGTTGAAGAGTAAGGAGCAGGATTTGACCCCAACATGCAGAGGCTGAAAACTGCTCCTGGTGGGTTTTTGCAACCTGAAGAGTAAAACCTACATTGCAACCCCCAACCCTACCACAGTGAAGGTGAGAATATCCACACCACAAATCCAGAGGGAGGAAGCCCAGTATCCAACATAAGGAGGAAAAGCCCCCAAGTCGCACTTTTGCTTAGCATGGTGTTAGTATGAGATTAACGTCCATTCCCCACAGTCACTCCAGTCCCACCAGACTCTCAGTCTCTGGCCTTCTCTCTTCAGCCCCCACATTCCTTCCTCTCCCTGTCTGGTCAACCTGTGAGGATATACTCAATCGCTCATGATTCCCATCTCCCTCCCCACTTTGCCTCATTTTGCCCCAGGTTCTGAGATGATTGAGACACAAGAGGACATCTATGTGGGCTCCATTGAGACAGACCGGGGTGTGCGGGAGCAAGTGCGTTTCTATGACACCAGGGGGCTCCGAGATGGGGCCGAGCTGCCCCGGCACTGCTTCTCCTGTACTGATGGCTACGTCCTGGTCTACAGCACAGATAGCCGAGAGTCCTTTCAGCGTGTAGAGCTGCTCAAAAAGGAGATTGACAAATCCAAGGACAAGAAGGAGGTGTGTGGCCTAGGCTTGTGGTGGGAGCCCCAATGGGGAGAGTGCGCTCTGGGCTGGCTTTGGGAAGCCTGGAATGACTTCATTTTTCACTCATTTGCCAGGAGTTGGGTTACGAGAGTGGAGGCCACTGGAGGGTGTCTTCACCCCTAGAGGTGGCCACATGGTGTGGCAGCTTAACCAAAGAGGCTTCTCTTCAGTTTAAGGGGTTCCTGACCTAACATATGAAGCTGCAGTATTCTTTCTTCATGACAGTTCCGTGTTCTTACCTATGAAGGCCCTTCTGTTTTCCAAAATATCCCTTTAAGCCGTAGGCATTGTGGGAGTACTTCCAAAAGTTTAACTAGAAACTAACCAACTGCAAGTAGTGAGCAGGAATGGGCGATATAGGGCTTGAAATGGAGTTCCTGGAAGGAGGATCAGAGGAAGCCAGAATTTGAACAGGGTGGAAAAAATATCTTCCTCCTACCAATCCATGGTTTCTAATCCAGGTGGAATTGAGACATCAGCCTTTGAGACTTTCCTTCTAGAATCCCTAGGTGGTAACCAACCCACACCCCCATTCTTGAGGTCCTTAGTGCATCCACAGGCCTGGCAGTCCCTTCTTTCCCAGGTCACCATCGTGGTCCTCGGCAACAAGTGTGACCTGCAGGAGCAGCGCCGTGTGGACCCAGACGTGGCTCAGCATTGGGCCAAGTCAGAGAAGGTGAAGCTGTGGGAGGTATCAGTGGCCGACCGTCGCTCCCTCCTGGAGCCTTTCATCTACCTGGCCAGCAAGATGACCCAGCCCCAGAGCAAGTCTGCCTTCCCCCTCAGCCGCAAGAACAAGGGCAGTGGCTCCTTGGATGGCTGAAGAGCTGCTGTCACTTCATCACCCGTCCAGCCCCATCCCAGTTTCTAGGGCTCTGGAAGATGGATTGAGGGGGAAAGCGGGGTAGGCAAGGTATCTTCCCCGAGGTCAGCAGAGCAGCTCCCCACTAGGCCAGGTGGCTAGACTGTCAGGGGGCTCAGGCCACCTTTGCTTTCTTCCAACTCTGGGAAGTGCGAATAATCTAGATTAATCCTCCCCCCACCCCACTTTCCATCCAGTGTTCATCATACCTGCTCCACTGTGACCTGGGGCAGCCATGGGTCAGTGTCCCTCTCACCTCCCTCAGACAGAAGCAGAACAATCATTCGGAAGTGCCCAGTCTAGGGTTTGGTACCTATTACAGGGACCTCAAACCCTGGACTTCCTGCCAACAACACACACACAGTTACAGCACCAGCCTGGACTCTAGAGAAAGGTCCAGGTATTGTAGATGTGCATGCGTGTGTGTGTATGCTGGCGTTAGGGAGTGTCTTCATCAGACACCCTGACCTTTCTCCTGTGTTTTCCTTAGCTGGAAGAAGCTGGCCTCTTGGGAAGTGTTTTAACTCTCTCCCAATTGTTTCTCTTCCTCTTCCTGCTCAGGAAGCAGATGGGCCTCATTGGTTGAGGTAGAATGGAATGATGACTGGGCTGGGAGTCACCACCTGGCTTGGTGAACTAGTAAGGCCTTTCCCCTTTCTGGGTTTCATTTTCTCATCTGTAAGGTGATGAGAGTTGACTAGATGATCTTTTAGATTTTTCCTAGCTTTATGATTTTATAATGCCCTTGGCTTTGAGCCATCTGTGACTGTACCCCTTGCTTCTCCCTTTTCAAGGTGCTATACCTACCAGCCAGGGAGGCTGGGACACTACTCTCCTTCCAGCCACCAGGGGGCAGGAGTGCACTATCCAGTCTTAGTTGCCACTGTGTCTACTCAGTGCCCAATCAGCCAGTCTTCACAACTACCCCACTGCCCCGTGGCGGCTGGTCTTTACCCCTTCTCCTGGTTGTCTTAAGCTAATGGCTGGACCTCTATTTATAAATTACTTGTATTTATATGCCTGCTGCCATGGTGAAGGCTGGACAAGGTGCTTCTCTAGCCCTTCCTTCTTACCTCAGGTGCCTGAACAGAACAGGCAGACCCGTAGCACCTGTCGGGGCTCATAAGGGTTGTGAGCTTATAACTCACAGTTTCCTGTGCCTACTTCATGTTTCTAACGTGCACACCCAGCATAAGTGAGACACTATGGCAAGGCAACTTCCAATACACGCCCTTTCTCCACCACACAGGAGAGGTGAGCAGGGGCAGGCGGCCTTGGGCTGGGCAAGTAGAATCAGGGCACATACAGGCTTGGGCATAAAGTTCATTTATTGATGCATTGACACAATAAAACCACAACTGCTTGTTATCAAAAAGTTTCCCTTCCCTCCCCCTTTGTTGTCCGGTTGGAAGTATCTAAAAATAGTAAGATACAGGTGGGTACTGGCAAAGTCCCATATTGTGGGGTGAGAAGGCAGTGCTGCGGCGGGATGGGGTCTGTAATACTGATTTTGACAGCTTGAAAATGGGTCTTGAGAGCATATTAGACTGGGTCCCAACCCTCAACTTCACAGTGTGGGGCTTGGGGTTGCTGGCTGGGAGAAGAAGGGAAAGCTGAATTTAGTGTTGGGACCAGCTTGGGGTAGGGAGCTGTAGGGGAAAGCGCTTCAGTAGGGAGCCTTGGGGGATTTGGTGTTAGCTGGGTCCATAGTCTGAGGGAGACCCAGGCACCTCCCCGCCAAAAGCTGGGATTCAGGGGTAATCAATGAAAAGTTAGGAGAAGAGAGCTTTTGTAGGGTTGATCACTTCCTATGTTAAAACTGGGCCTAGCCAGAACACCCTCACCTACTCCTATCCTAACCCCATCCAGTTAAACTAGATGAGGCCCCCAAAAGCTTTCAGTCCCAGCCTCTTTGTCCCACCTTAGCATTGCTTGGCCCGGGGGCTCCGAGGTCTTCCTTTCTCCTCCACAGGCCTCCCACGTTCCCATGATCACCTTGTCCAGATAGCCTTGAACTCAGTCCAGCTTGAGACCCCAATCCCTCATCTCCAGTGATTTCTCCAGAGAATCCAGTGAACAGGGAAGGCCTTCTCCCCAGCATGAGAGTGGAGGTCATAGACTGTCCCCAGACTAGGGGAGACACATGGCTTTAGGGCTTGGATGAGAGCACCGTGGGGTTGGGGCTGGGGCTGGGATTTTGCAGATCTTTGAGATTTATTGGTCAGCTCCCTGGAAACCCCGTCTGGAAAATGCAGGGGCATCCAGAACTAGCTCTAGAAGGGTGGGGATGGTCCTGAGACCAGGGGGGCGCTGATTTAATCCTCAGTCCAGACAGGAAGTGAGGGGCTGCTGCCCTTCAAATTAGTCCAGTTCTTCCTGGTTGGGCAGGACCTGCTAGGCTGTAGGTGTAGAAAACAAAGGTTCTCTGGGGGTGAGGAGGAGACTGGGTGAGCAGCTGCTGGGAAGCCAGCCCTGGGCTCCCCAGGAGGGCTAATAGGGGGCGAAGACGATGGGTCCTGTGGCAGGACGGATGGCTCCCGCTGGGGTGCGAAACAGAGCTGGGCCTAGGATCGGAGCCGGGAAGAGGGTAGTGGCCGTGGTGGGGGCAGGCCGCAGGGCCAGGGGCCCTGGCAGGGCACAGATGGCAGCCGCTGTGGGGAGCGGGCTAGGCAGGAAGCAGGCTGCCAGCGTCTTGGTGAGTTGCTTCTGCAAGGCCAGTTTTGACTACAAAGGAGGGAGAGATAGAGACAGTCCCTGACCCCAGAACTCCCACCCCTCCCTGGGCGCCATCCTCAGGCTTTTTGCCACAGGAAAAACGTGCCTTTTAGGGTTCCAAATCTAAATCCTCCTCCTTCCCACCCCGAAACATCCATTTTAAAGGGCTTTCTTTACCACCTGTCTTCCTGCCCAGAGGGAGGAGGACGTGGGGGGGAGGGGTAGAGATGGTCTCCAGGAGATGCCCGCCTACCCCTCGCTCCTGCCCCTAAGTTTGCTACCCCAGCCTACCTCCCCGGAAATTCCTCAGGGCAGATCTCGAGACAGCCAAAAACTCAGCCCCAACGCTTTTCCTGCCCAGGCAGCCTCAGAGGGGTGGCTTCCTTCCTGTCCCACCCCCAAGTCCCCCAACTGGCCTTCTCCCGCCCTGCCTCTCCCTTTTTGACCTGGGTCCCAGCTGTGTTGCCTGGAGACAGATACCTTGAGGATACTCACAGCCAGCGCTGCGTGCTTCTGCAGCTTGCTGTGCTGGCTAGAGGGCTTGGGGGGCTTCCCAGCCAGGCGGTCTTTGTGCCTCCTGCTGCTCATGTGCTAATGGATAGACAAGACAGTCTGGGAACAAGATGAGGAATCCCAAGGACCCCAAAACTATCCTATCATGCATGACTACTTCACCCTTCCTCTACCCATAATTGCCACCTTCAGCGCACTTACTGGGTACTCACCCCAGGTTGGCCTTGGGAAGGGGAGGTGGTACTTGGTCTTTGCCCTCAAGGAGCCCCTATCCAACCAGCCTCACTATTCTTCCTCTAGTGACTCTCTGCTCTGCCCCCACTCCCGTCTTCTCTCAGGCTCTCTCTCCCAGCCTGCACTGGTTCCATGCCCCTCACCCCTCCTCCAGCCCCAGTCCCAGCCTGGCTTCTCCCACCTGCTTGAGTTGAGTCTCTGAGTTGACCTGGAGCTGGCAAACAGCACAGTGGAAATGGGGGCTGAGGCCTGGCCGACCCCCTCGGCCCCCTGTCACATGCTTGGCCTTGTGTCTGGCCCCTCCACGGGGCACCGGGCGGCCCCGGCCCCTGTGGGGAGCCCCTTGCTGGCCTTCCACCATCCACCGGTGCTTAGCTCCTGAGGGGAGAGAAGAAGATGGTCTGTCAGCACCCAGGAGGGTGAGTGAGGGCCGCAGAGACCCCCTCCAAACTGGCTCCGTTTGGCTGTCCCTCATGCCTGGCAGCTGTGCTGCACATACATTCCCTCCGGTCAGTGAGATTTCTCTTCTCGTCTCCACGAGGTTCTCCCAAGCTTCTTTCATTTCATGCCAACCTCCCCCCAAGGAAGGCCTTTCTCAGCGTAACTGGGCAGCTTCCCCTTTGCTCTAGTGTCCATCCCTTCCTTCTGGTTCTGGCCTAAGGGGAGATGGAGCAGGCATCTCCTGCCCTCTCTAGAGGGACCCTTCAGAGGTTTAGTGATCTTCAGTTCTTGCTGCCCCAGGCTTCTCTTCCCAATTCCCCCTCCCCAGGGATTACTGGGGAGACCCAGGAATGCCCACCCAAGAACAGCTGAGCACAACACCTGTGTCACCAGGCCCTTAGAGCAAAGTGCCCAGGAACTCAAGCCTGCCCACACCTGGGGAGGGTGAGCCTCCCTGCCCCTCTCCTCCCCCTGGACTCCGGGTGATGGGGAGCACGCACCTGTGTTGTGAGCCTGTAGCTGGGAGGTGGAGTTCACCGTCACCTTACACGTGGGGCAGTAGAGGCTCCCCTTCTCAGTCCTGCCCTCCCCACTCACACTGCTTCCTACTGCGGCTGCCACTGGCTCAGGCCCTGGCGCCTCTCGCCCAGGTTCTGGGGAGCAGGGTGGGCAGGAGGAAGGAGAGGAAGAGGAGGCAGCATCCAAGAGGTCTGAGTGGGCCGGCTCCCTGGGCGTGGGGTCTCGAATCAGTGGTGGTTGGAGTGGGGGACCTAGAGGAGGGGCTGCAGGGACTTCTGGGGAGATGGGAGACATCAGGTAAGATAGCAAGGCCTCAGGTGGATTCTTGAGACCATGACTTTAATACTGACATAATGGGGTGACATGGCAGAGTGAAGGCTCCCTGGGGTTGGAATGACCTGTGCCAAATTCCACACCCAGCTCTCCCACCAACTCGATGGGCAGAGTTGGGCCTCTTTGGGCCACAGTTTCCCCATCTGAAATCATAAAGTTGAACAGGAGGTCTCATAAAGCCCTTGCAGCCTTGATATTCTACAGTTATTTAGTAATTGTTAAATAAGCAGAATTACCCAAAAGACATGAATGTTCACAGCAGCACTATTCATAACCACAGAAAACTGGGAACTATCCAAATATCCATCAACAGGAGAATAGATATAGTGGTATGTTCATGCAATGGGATACTACACAGCAATGAAAAAGAACAAACCAGCTACACACAGCAACGGGGATGAAGCTTACAACCATAATGATGTACAAAAGAAGCCAAACACAGAAGCCTGCACGCTGTAATTCACCAAAACCAGTGAAGCGGATCTTTGCTGAGAAATGTCTGGATCGTGGTTACCCTGGGGGAGGGGTGGTGCCGGGAAGGGAGCCCAAGGGGGGTTCTAGGGTGCTGGTACCAGGCTGTTTCTTGATCTGGGCATGTTCTGATTGGGATAGTCCCTTGACCTGTGCCTTTCCTGTATGTGTGGAACACTTCAACCCAAGCAGAAGTAATAAGCAGAAATCTCAACTGCTCGTCAGAAACCACATTTGGAGAGGGAGAGGGAGAGGGCGGAGAAGAGTCCAGAACTGACCTGTGCTCTGCAGCTCTCCAGGTGCTCCACTGGCTGGAGTCAGGGTTGGGGACACCACTGCCCCATCCTGGGCCAGGGTCTGAGGCTTCTGCTTGCTCTTGGTGGCCTCGACAGCCTTGACTTTTCTGGCATGCTTGTGGCCTTTATAATGTGCTTCAGCCTGGTTCTGGGGAGGGAAGGGCACCGTGTTGCCATTCATTCACGGAGTCCACACGACTCATCCATGTGCCAGCTCTGGCCCGTGGCCAGGCCAGAGGGAGGCAGGGCTCAGGCCACATGGGGGTGTCCCTGTCGTTGCCATCATCATCACAGCATGTGTACGGTTCTGAGGATGACAGAATGTGTTCTCGTACATGAGCTCCAAGGCAAGCGGCCTCTGGCTTCACGTTCTTGCTCAGGCACTTATTAGCTGTGCATCTTGGGCAAGTCAGTTCACCTCTCTGAGCCTCGGTTTCTGTACGCGTAAACTTTGCGATGACAATACTAACCACACAGAGTTAGGAGAATTAAGTAGGAACATGAATGACAAGTGCCTAGTATGTACAGGAGGTTCTCAGTTAGTGTTAGTTACCAGGTTTACAAATGCCCAAATGGAGACAACAGAGCAGTCCTCATACTCTGGGGGTATGTGCACCCCAAAACATTGATTCCTTTGTCCATTTTTTCAGCCAATAGTTACTGAGCATTTGCTGTTTGCCAGGCACTGTGCCAGGGGTCCAGCATGAAGAAGGCACAGTACCTCCCTCAGAGCAATCTCTCTCTGTCCATCTTTCTCATAACTTCTGTAACTTGACAGCCTAGAGGGAACCCCAAAATCTGGCCTGTCAGTGTCCTTCCTCTTTCAACCACGGGTCCCTGCTTCCTGCTTCCCTTAATATGGAACAGGCCCCTGCAGTCTAATTTAAGAGATAATATTGGAGCCATTAGTCCCTGTTCTAAAATGTGACCCAGGTGGGGCTGAACTCACAAGGACTCACAAGGACATATCAGCTGGGCCCTGAGGTATAAAGAAAATAGCTAGGATAATCTTGGAAAACATTTTTTAGGGAAACTTTCACATAAACAAATCATAAAACAGCACAAAAGACCCACATACTTTCCACTCTTATCTTTTTCTATTAGCATTTAGTGTATAATAAGAGTTTTTGGACCAATGAAGACCGTCCTGACTGTCATTTCTGAAACCTGTACCAATGATTGTTAAGAAAGACAATTCAAAATGTAGGATCACCATTTCTAGCCAATCTGTGAAAAGGTGAAGCTTTCAATGGTTTTGCCCATTTGCAATGTTCACATATACTGATGACTCTCTAACATTCCTCGGATATGCCTCTAGCAGCATGCTTGTCCATTTTCCACTCTTGTCTATTCTGTAATATTTCCCTGGACTCAGACAAACATGGCTTTGGCAGCATGCTTGTCCATCTTCCCACTTTTGCCTACTCTGTAATATTCTTTGGACTAGGGCAGACATGGCTCTAACAACATGCTTGCCCGTTTTCTAACTTTTGTCTATTCTGTAAATTTCCTCAGATTCCGGCAGACATGGCTCTGGCAGCATGCTTGTTTCCTGCTTTTGCCTCTTTGAGTGTATGCCGAATAAAACTTTCTTTTTGCTTTACTAAACTTTGTGATGTTTTTACCCTCCAAGTCCCTTCCTGGATCCTTTGACCACAGCAAGTCTGCTGAGAGCATTTCCCCCAAATCCCAGAGTTGTCTGGACAAAAGGCAAACCTTCCCCGGGAGGCCAGAAAGAGGTTTCTCCACTACCTAGGGGCAGGCTGTGGTAGAAAGTACTCAGGCCTGGACTCAAATCCCTGCTCTGCTGCTCACCAGCTGTGTGGCCTTAAGCAAGCCACTTAACCTTGCTGAGGCTCAGTTTCCTCAACTGAAAAATGGGAATGCTAATACCTCACAGATGTGTCATGAGAACTAATTAAGATGATGGGCACAAAAAACACATTCTGCAAGCTCTCAGGTGCTCTGAGAACTCTACGGAATGCCAGGTGGTCTCAGACCAGGAGCCAGAGTGGGGAAAGGTGGTCTCCTCTTCTACAGAAGGATCCAGAACACAGAGAAAGGCATAAGATAAGGAAATGGAATCCCAGAGGGACTAGAGCTGGGCAGCAGGGGTTAAGGGATGGGATAGAGGAATTCCAAGAAAAAAGAGGAATGGGATGGTTAAAGGACCAGGAGCACCTCTTCAGTGACCAGGATGGAAAATATAGACTCCCCCTGCCACCCCCATTCTTCCCTGAAAGACCCTGGAAGCCCAGTCTTCAGCCTCTTCCTGCCCAGCCCCCACCTCCCGGACCTGCTTCCACCACCCCTCTCACCGCTGAGTTGAACCTCAGGTGACAGATGTTACAGGAAATGAGCTTCTTCTTCAGAGGGGAGGGGACGCCAAATGTGTGGCTGATGACAGCTTTCTGGACTGGGTCCATCTGTGAAGGGGGTGGGAGGCCACAATAACTCTGGAGTGTACTCGGGAAAAGAAGGGGCAGTACAAAATGCCCCAAACTAAAGACTATTGAGGAGGGGTTGTGGACAGACTCTAGGAAGAACTTTCCCAGCCTGAGCGCAGTCTAACAGGGACTTGAACAACTTGTTCAGACCCTGAGGCCTCGGAGGCCAAGCATATCATGGGGCTTTTTTTGTCCCTGGGGCCTTTCTGTGAGTGTGCACTTACTGAGCACCTGTGGAATGCCACCCTCCCACATGCTGTATCCATCACTGGAAGAGTGTCCAGGGGAGGGGTGGGGAGGGGCAGGCAGCAGCAAGCGGAGGCCAAGGCTTCCCTGAGTAGCAGGATCATTCCTCTGGAATATTAATTTGTGGGCTTTTTTCTTTTCCTTATTGTAAGTGATTTTTTTTTTTTATTCTATCAAACCAAGCTCCCTTTCTCAGGAGTCTGGGTGGTTGAGCCAAAAGCAGAAGTTGTTTAGGCTTACAAGGGAAACTTGCCAAACCTTCCTAAGGGAAGACTTCAGAGGCTTGGAGAAGAGCATGGTTTTGGAAACTTCCCTGAACACAGGAACATGTGGTAACCCTCACAGCACCAGGGCAGCTGGGGCTGGGGACAGAACCTCAGAGAGAACGGCCTGCAGGGCTCCCAACATATGAGGACAACAGTGGTTCCACTCACCCTTAAACAGTAAGCATGTCAACAGGTGACACAGGGGACCAAAGATCATAGGCCCCTCCCCAAACATCCTGGACCAGGTGAGCCCCTTTAGGACCTCCGTACAACCCTGAAGGGTTGGGAGGGAGGTACTCCAGGGGTGGCCGAGGTGGAATTTCTGGCCAGTTTGTCAGGATAGTGTAGCATTCATCAACGACTAAATATGAATTTTTGGAATTAATAAAATGGGGGGAAAGGATATTCCTCTCACCTCATGTAGCAGAGTGAAATTCGTACTCACTACACTTGTCATTCACACACATACACATATAGAAATACCGAGACTAGCATACAGATACAGCACATAAGCTTACAAGTAGTTACAAATCACAGAGACACACAGAAAGATACACAGACTCCTGTCACACAAATGGTAGCACACAACCACAAACTCACAGTCTCCCAAACCACACACAAAAAAACACACTCAGAGGTCAGACAAATACACAGGCACACAAGAATTGTTTACAAATACACGCTGGACACCAACGCACAGATATCCATCCACAAATAACATAGACCTACACAGCACAAACTAAAACATGAAGGCACACCCAAAGCACAGACAGACACACAGAGATCATCCATAGCTGTGGCTACACAAAACTCGAGTGAAACTAGAGTGTACAGGCCCCACAGGGCCAGCAACTGTGGCAGTGGAGGCAAAGTCATTTTTGTTTCTTAGCCTAGGGAAGAGCTGGGTCCAAGGGTCCTTGTTTGGGGAGCATCTAGTCACTAGGGGGGATGCTGGAGAATGAGTTCCTGGAGAGACCCAGTTGCAGAGAACGTACCCCTCTGAGCCCACTTGACCTGCCCACCCAACGATTTGGCTGCGCGCCCCCCCCCGCCCCCCACCAGTCCAGCCCGTACCGTGCTGAAGTTGGGGAAGAGACTGAGCGGGGCGGTGCCATTGAAGTGGAAGGCGAGTAAGTGCTTGAAGTCCAGCGGGGGCTGCAGAGGCCTGGCCGGCAGGGGCAGGGAGGCCAGCAGGGGGTTGGGAGTGCTGGAGGCCGGGCCTGCTGCAGGAGGAAGAAGGGCAGGGTCTGAAGTGGGGAGCCACAGGGCTCTCTTCTACCTCTGCAGCCAGAACAAGAGGCTGATGGACTTCTTGGGTGTGGAGCCAGGGTAGAAATCCCTGTCTCCCTCTTCACAAAGTAGCCCAGCCAAGCCCAGGGCAAGGGGCCTCTTCTCCCCATAGCTGGGGAAGCAGAGGCAGAGTCTACAGGGCAAGGCTCCTAGTCCAAGAGAAAGACCCTTCCCCACTTACAGAGGCAGCAGAATGGCTGAAATGAACCCCCCGAGGGAGTCCGGCCATAGGAGGGGGCAGAGGAGCCAGGGCAGGGCCCCAACACACACACCACCAAGGAGACTGCAAGATGCACTGGGTTTCCACTTTATTAAAACCAAACCCAGGATGCTTGGGGACAGGCTAGTGCCCTCCTCTCTCACTCTCTAACTATCCCGTCTTCTGATCCCCACACCATTCACAGTCAGGGCTGACGGGGGGCGGGGGGTGGGTGGGAAGACCGTGGGAATCTGAAGGGGCATGTCCCCCAGCTCTGGGGAGGCCCCAACTGCTTCCCCCAGGAGGCGAAACTCCTCCAGAGATCCTGGGTCAGGCCCTGAGGCCAGTCCTCAGGAGCAGCAGGTACAGCTCTGGTTTTGGAGTCTTTGGTCTTCAAGGCAAGGGCAGGGGAGGGCTAGGAATTTGGAGAGCAACCAGACTTTAAGGAAGGAAAAAAAAAAAGAAATTAATTCAGTCCATTTGGGACTTTCTTAGACCCTCTCATTTCAAAACCAAAAGAAGTCCGTTTAGATTTTTGTGTGTTAACACTATGAAAGATAGGACAGATTTATTTCACATTTAAATATTTATATCTATACACATGGCCATGTACAGAAAAGCCAACAGGCAGCCTATCGGGGTGGAACGAAGGAGGGCACCACTGCCTCCACAGCTGTGCCCTTGAACCATTAGCTTATGTGTGTGTGTGTGGGGTGCTGTGCTGTGTGTCAAGAATGAATAAGGTCCCAGTTCCCCAGTCATATCTGAAGAGAAGAGATACTGCCAGGAGTGGGGCTAAAGAACAGCCAAGGACCCATTCTCCTTCTCTCAACCTCCCACTTCCCAGGACCCAGTTTTGCTCCTTCTAGCCAAGACCAAACTCTTCTAGAACCAAAACTTTGACCAAGACCAGAAGGGGAAGGGGTGAGCTACTCCTCTTCAAACTTTGGAGAGAACAGGAGCCATTTAGGGGATCCCAGACCCCAGCATCTCTGCCCACTTGCCCAGGTTCCCCTTCACAGTCCAAGAAACATGGTTAGAGGTCAGCATGGAGCAGAGAAAGCCCAGGAAGGTGGATGGGAGGCATCAGACCTCTGGGAAGCCAGTTAGTAGGTCAGCTTCAGAGCAACACCACAGCCAGGTCCGGCTTGGCCCACAATGTGCCCAGTGCCTCAGACTGGCTGGGTTAAGAAAAAGTTGGGCCTCCTCACGTGAGTTGCGACCCCCAGGAGCCCCTCCCCCCACCCACTCTCTAGGAACTCTATGGCCAGCGCGAAGTCAAACTCATGCAGTGGGGGCCCGTCCACAGCGATCTTCACCACGTGGCCACTGCGGCCTTCCCCGCCCCCTGCCGGCCCCCACCACCTCAGCTCCCGGCTGCGGGCGACCTTGTCCAGGAGGCCGGCGCCTGCGGGCAGCGCCAAGGCCAGTGCGGCCAGGGTGGCGAAGTCCGGGAAGAGCTCGTGCAGCTCGGAGTGCGTGCACGCCAGCTTGGCGCACAGCGCCCGCGGCCCGAGCCGCCCGAGGCTGCACACCACGCGCTTGAAGAGCGCGAAGTCGCCTAGCGCGCGCTGGCGCACCACTGCTGGCGCGAAGGCTCGCAGCAGCAGGCGCAGCGCCCCCTCGCCGTGAGCGCCCAGCTCCTCTGGCGCCTGCGGGTAGCGGCGGGGGTCGAAGATGGCAGCAAAGGAGGCCACGGCGTCCAGCGAGGGCCCGGGGTAGGAGTCCCGCAGTCCTGTCCGCATGGAGTCCAGGAAAGCCCCCCGCAGCCGGTCGAAGCCCCGGACCGAGGCCTCGCAGTAGCCAGCCAGCTCCACGCCGCGGTAGGTGCAGCGACTGTCGCCCCCGTCGGGGCCTGAGGCCGCCAGTTCCTGAAGGAAGGCCTGGAGGCGGGCCCCACCTGAGCAGCGCTGTGCTTGCAGGGAGGCAGCGGTCGCCATCACCAGGGGCTGCAACAAGGCCAAGTCTGGCTCCTCTGGCTGCAAGACAAGCGCAAGCTTCTGCACGGAGGGCAGAGTGTCCAGCAGCAGGTGGGTGAAGGCCACGAAGGTGAACTGGCGAAGAGCAAGGGCCAGTGTCCCAGCAGTGGGAGAGGCTGGGGCTGCGGCCTCCAGTGTGGGCACCAGGCGAGGCCAGGCCTCGGCCACTGCTTCCACAATGGGCAGCACTGAGGCCCATGGCACTGGCCGTGGCCCTGCCAAGTCAATAGCTGCAAGGTCCAGTGCTGCTCGGAGCTCAGGGACCATGTGGGAACTAGGGCCACCATGCAGGCGGAATAGGGCATCTAGTATGCTTTCATATTCACCCAAGTAGGCAGGGGGCTTGGGGTCTGTCCGGCCGGGGAGGCAGTGTAGCTCTGTGAGCAGTGGGCAGGCAGCCCGGAGCTGTAGGCCCACACTCCTCAGGCGGTCACTGGGGAGGCTCGAGCTGAGCCAGGCCAGCTTGGGTGCGGGCACGCCGAAAGCCTGCAGGATGTCCAGGAGCTGGCCAGCGGTGGCCTCACCTTCCTGTAGCTCCACACTGCCCAGAAAGGTGGTGGCAGGCTGACCATCGCAGGGGGACACCGAAGTGGCAAACAGGGCCAGACTGCGTGACTCAGGCCAGTCCCTGGTCTCATCCAGCACCAGCCCCACATACGGGGATGCCCTCAGGCGCTGACAGTCCTCCGTGTGCAAGACACTGGCAATGGCCACCTGGGGCAGCCAGGGAGAGAAAGGGAGGGAGGACAGAGTTAGGCTTGTTCTGAGAGGGGGAGCAAGGCAGTGTAGGGTGGTGGAAAGAACACAGGCAGACTTAGGGGCCAGTCCTGGCTTCCTGGCTTTGCTACTTACTGGCTGTGTGACCTTGGGCAAGTCACTTCACTTTCTGAGTTTCCTTAGCTCCAAAATCAGGCTAATACCTGCCGCAATCTCCTCACAGGGTTGTTGTGAGGCTCAAATGAGCTCATAAATGTAAAAGTGCTTTATGAACCATAAAGTGCTCTAAGAAGGCTAGTTTTTCATTGTTTTTCTATAACATCACCCCAGAGACTACCTTATTCCTGGGGTTCATCCTCTACTATCCAGCTCAAGGGTTAACTGATTGACACATTCATTCCCAAGTCCTGGCCAGTTACGCAGGGTCCCGGCTGTGTGCTCTCTTTGTCATCTCTCTGTAGGATGAGATCCAGCCCCCAGCCCCCTGCTGCAGCCCTCAGGACTCACACAGCTGGTACCTAGGACAGAAACTGCAACTTGCATGCCTCCAAGGGCCATGTGGGTGACACTGAGCATGAAGTGGAACCACAGGGAATGGTGAGGACCCTGGCAAGCCCATGTCCTGCTTTCCAGCTCCACCACTTCTTGCCATAAGAGCATGGTAGCCTAGCTTTTCAGTTGCTGTTGTTAGGTGCTGTTGAGTCAATTTCGACTAATAGCGATGCCATGTGACAGAGTAGAACTGCGCCATAAGGTTTTCTAGGCTGTAACCTTTCTGGGAGCAGATTGACAGGTCTTTTCTCCCACAAAGCCTCTGGGTGGGTTCGAACCATCAACTTTTCGTTTAGCTGAGCACTTAACTGTTGTACCACCAGGGCTCCTTACAGCTTTTCAGTAGAAGTCACATATCTAGATTTTTATACATAATGTCCTGATTTTTCAAGTTGGACATTAAGTTTTTAAAAAACATTATGAGAACCAATAAAACACATCTGTGGGCCAGTTATGCCCCCAGGGCCACCAGTGTGCAACCTCTGGCCTAGGTAGTGAGGGGAATGTCCCCGTGCCCCTGAGGACAGGGCCTGGTCCGGCCTCGTCACTGTTATATCCCCAGCAGCTGCCCCAGGACCTGGCACCTAGAAGGCCCTCGGTGAAGGTCCTGCTGGCTGAAGGCATGAATGAAGTGCCCTGGCCTGCGGTGGGCAGTGGGCAGGGCTGGCATGCTGGGGCTGTGCCCAGCTGGCTCAATGACCTCCCTCCCCAGGCCCTCCCCATGCTTCTGGCTGCCACCCACCTGCATGTCCCTCACCCTCCTGGGGTTGTAGTGATCACTGTGCTCGGTGCCCAGCAGCGCCTGGCACAGGTTGAACCTTTGCAGCTCCAGCAGGGCAGAGCAGCGGTCATCGGGCACGTCCTCCTTGGCCATGCAGTACACGGTGGTCAGCACAGCCACTTTAGAGGGGTCCACCTCTACCTTGATGCCCCTAGAGGTGGGGGTGGGAACCAGGCCTGGGTAGGCCCCTCCTCCCTCAGCCTGGCCCTGGTTGACGGCCAGAGCCTGGCGGTGGGCTCCCGAGGTCACGTGACGCAGCAGGGCATGGCGCTGGAAGTTGTCTGTGCCCACGGTGAAGGCGTTCTCAGCTTTGCCATGCTTGTTGCGTACCAGGGCCTGGCGACACTCGAGGCAAAACATCAGTTTCCGCTCGTAGTCAAAGTCCAGCCAGGTAAACTCCTCTTTCCAGTGCTCATTGAAATAACGCTTGCACTTCTTGTTGGAGTTGGAGGCCTCTCCAGCAGGTTTCTTCCCGGGGGGCACCATTCCTGCTTGCTGGGCAGGGTACCTCCAGCCCCCACCCAAATTCTCTTGCCCCCCCCCAGGCTCCCCCCCACACAGGGGCACCTCCCTTGGCAAGGGGAGTTGGTGGGGAGGCAGGAGGGGGGCAGCCCACCAGGCTAATGGGGACCATCCATCTAACTTATTCAGGAAAGCTTATTCCTTCTCCGCCGGTGGGGGACTGGAGATGAAAGAGACAAGGGAGAGGTGTTAGGGGGTCCATCATGGTGGGGTGGTTTAGGGTAGGGTGATAGGGTTCACAGTGCCTACAGAGCCCTCCCCAGCTCAAGGGTGGACTGGACTCAATGGGGCAAGGGGCTATTGAGAGTGGGCGGAGTCATGCAAATAACCATAGTGTATTATCCAATACTCTGTGGAGGAATGGGGACCCCAGCCCCCTCTGAGGTCTCCTTCCATCTAGGACATTGGCTTTGACTGCTGAAGCGGCTCAGAACTTGGAAACACCAGAGCTGGAAAAGGACTAGGCACCATGTACGCAACCACATTTTATAGGTGGGAAAATTGAGTCTTGGAGACAGACAGTGGTTCTCAGGCCTTATAAATAATTCATGGCTGAATCTAAAACTCAGACCTCCTGCCTCTAACCCAAAGGATGGCTGGTCCCACCAGCCCATCGTTATGTATTCCATCAGAAGGAAGTTAGCACAAAAATGAGCTGCTTCCAGAGGCTCAGGACAGTAACTGAAATTTGTTTTCTTTGGAGCGACCCTCCCGAAACACACACACGCCATTCATGCACACCTGTAGTGTGGTTCTGGGAGGGGTGACCTAGAACTGAGGGCTGCTTGGGCTGAAGGCAGCTTTCTGGTTACTCTTCACCTCCCTCCTGCTACCAGTCCCCTAGGCCCCCACCCCAAGCAATTCAGGACTGGAAGGCCATGTCCAGCTAATGACCCAAACCTGCCAACTCCATCTCCTAATCTCTCTCAAATCTGTCCACTCCTCTCCATGCCTAATAACAACAACAACAAGTACCATTTATCAGGGGTGAGCAGATTCAGACCCTGTGCCGAGTACTTGACAATGATTCCATGAGAAGACAGATTACATGTAGTCCCCGGATTATGAAGAGTTCTGTTCCTAAACCTGTCTTTAAGTCGAATTTGTACGTAAGTCAGAACAGTTAGGTATGGTTAGTATCTAACATCATTTAGTCAAATGTTTGTCTTAGTATATAGTATATAGTGTACCTTTCTGTGCATAAAAAAATTAAAGAAACACTTCCAGATACACTAAAACATCTTTAACGTAATAATACAATAATAATAATAATGTTTTGATGCGTGTCGCAGAGTAGCACCTGTTTGTTATTACAAACCATTGTATGTACCTCGAGTTTTTAATATAATAGGCTTTACTGGGTTGGTTCCTAATTAGCAGTTGTACTAAGTTGGACATTCATAACCCAGGAACTGCATGTATTCTTGCAAGTCCTCTGGGAGGGAGGCCTTATCCTCAGTTTGGAGAGGAGAAAACTGAGGCTCAGTGACTCCAAGTGACTTGCCCAAGGTTCTACAACTTGTAAGTGGTTGAGGCAGAATGAGAATCCAAGTCCTCCTGACCCCAAATGCTATGCTGAGACCCTGTCATGACCACCCCTCTCCCACCAGCTGGCTGGTCTCTCATTCCCCAAACCTGTCTCCACCCAGCAGCCAGAGAGAGCAAGCTCAAACACCAATCCAGCCATGTCACTCCTTTGCTCCACCTCTTCCATGGCACCCCACTGCCTAAGTCTACCCACTTCACTGTGAACCAACAAAACCCTCCCCAGCCTCTGAGCACCCCCATAGCCCCCCACCACTCCTGTCTACTCAGCCAACTACAAAGGCTTCCCTTTCCTGCCCACACCAGGCTGTTACCTTTGTTCCTGCCTTCATCCTCTGTTCTGGGAGTTCCCGATCCCTCTTCTTTCCCTGGCTAACTTCTGTTCATTCCTGGAGAGCAGTTCAGGCAGCCCCTCTGCCTCCCTGATCCCGTCACCCTGGGCTGGTACCATCCTCTCGTCTCCCCTAATTTCCTGTGCGTGACTCTTAGTAACAATATGGTGAACACAAGGATTCTCTACATATCTCTGCACTTGGCTCCTGGAAGGCCAAGATCACGTTTATTCGTTTATGCCAGAGGCTCCTCAAAAGAAAGGCCTGGAGGTCTGCTTCCGAAAGCAGACCTGGAAAACCCTATGGAGTGCAGTTCTATTCTGCACATACGGGGTTACCATGAGTCGGAATCAACTCAACAGCAACTGGTTTGGTTTTTTGGTTTTAGTGACTGTACACGGCTACAGGGCTGGGCATGTAGGCGCCTCTCAGTGGAAGTTGGTTGTTTAAAAGAATGAAAGGATGAATTTTGGCTCATATGAAAAACTCTGTTTCTGAGACTGTTGGTTAGATGAATTTGAACTCTGAGGAAGCAGTGGCTGTCTTGCCCCCTGGTACAGCAGCTGCATGGGGACTGGCATGCAGAGGTGGTAAAACGAGGACAGATGAGTGGATTCCCAGGGCCAGCCCCATTCAGTAATAAGGAAAGGTGCTCTGTGTTGCCGGATGCCGGTGAAACCTGTTCTCCTCTTCCCCTGGACTCTGAGCAGCATATGGCACTGCTAACCACGTCCTCCTTGAAACTCTGTCTTCTCTTGGTTTCCAAGACCCCACTTCCTCTGGTTTGCCTTCTCCCTCTCAACCACACCTCAACCTCCAATGTCATCTCCTCTTCTTCTTCCCAACCTCAAACTGTCCAAGAATTTCAGAACCATCTGTGCTGACCACTCTCACATACATAACCCCAGCCTGGGCCACTTCCCTGGGCACCATGCCTCTCCATCCATCCGCCTTCCTGACTTGTCCAAATGGAACTCTCACTCTGTTCCCGCAAAATATATTCCATCCACCCACATGCTCCAGCCAGAAACCTGTTCCTCTGACCCCCACTGACTCTCATTTCCAGGACCTCTTCCATCCACAGGTCCTGCTGATTCCACCTCCAACACCTACCTCTGACTCATCCCTTCTCTCCATACCATGGCCATCACCCTTGTCCAGGCTGCCTTCATCTCTTGCCTGGACTAGATCAGTTGCTTCCTGATGAATTATGGGTTTCCACTCTTAGCCCTCTTGGTGCCCTTTGGTCCCCAGAAACCAGAGGGGGCTTTTAAAAATGTACTAGATGAGGTCACTAATCTGCTTAACTTCTGCTCTGAGGCCAGCACCAGAATCCGTTTCAAGGCCTGCAAGATCCTGCCTAGTGCCTGGGCCTTGCTGGCCTATCCAGTGATCACTTGAGCTTCCTTCCTTTTCCAGCTATACTGGCCTTCTCTCATTTCTCTTCCCCAGGCCCTTTACACATGCTGTCCTATTCTGCTTAAGGGTCCTCTCTTCAGAGGAATCTTCCCTGACTGTCCTTCCCAGAAATCCCCCTTCTTTTCTGTCATTGTCCCATTTGTTCCCTTCCTTGCACTCCCCATAGTTCACAAGTTTCTGCTTTTTTCTGCACAGCTCTGTTGCCTGGTTGTCTCTCTCTCTCTAGAATGCACATCCCCTGAGGGTGGGAAAGGTAACTACATTGTTCATGTCTGAACCCCAGAGTTGGGCACAGTGCCTGGTACCCACCAGGTGTTCCACAAAATTTGGGAAATGAATGAATAAGGAAGAACGAACTCTAAGTATAAAGAAAGCAATGGAGTGGGTGCTTGGGCACCTGTTGGGTGCTTAAAATAGCTGCCTTTGACTTCCTTTCGTCCCCAGAGCCTGTGATTCTGTGACCTTGTCCAGCCCACCATCCACAGGACCTAAGAATGGGAGAGGTCACAGAGCCAGGGTGACACCCTTCTGGAAGCTTGTGAGATCCTTTCTGCCTACCCAGAAGCTGGCTATCCTGCTACATTCTGCAGAGGGATAAAATGAGTCTCAGACCTAGGGTGTTTTGGATGAAAGAGCAAGAGAGTAGGTAGGGACATGGGAAGGTAGAGATCCTAAAACTGCACTATCCAATATGGTAGCCAGTAGCCACATGTATTGGACAGCGCAGATATAGAATATTTACATCATTCCAGAAAGTTCTATTGGATGACACACTCTTAAAAAACAGGCCAGAATCCAGTGACATTCTCCCCACCCCAACCTAAGGGGACCAGGCTGGGTGGGGTGGGATGTAAATCGTGATGATGTTGGTCTGGACTCCCTGGGTGGTACAAAGGGTTAATGTGCTAAGCTGCTAACCACAAGGTTGGAGGTCCACACAGGGGCACCTCAGAAAAAAGCCCTGGTGCTCTACTTCTAAAAAATCAGCCATTGAAATCCTGTGGAGCACAGTTTTACTCTGACACACATGGGGTCCCTGTGAGTCGGAATCGACTCTATGGCAACTGGTTACGTTGATTCAGTTGTGACCAGGGGTGATCAGGAGGACGCACTTGTCTTTAACTCACATCCACACACCTTTCCACACCCTGGCCAGCTAGACAGAAGTGGTGCAACTTGAGAGGCTGTGTAGTGGTCGGCCTCCCCCACGCCCACCCCAGCATGTAAACCTCAAACCCAGTATTTATTTTCCCCAGGATCATGGTTCCCAGCCTCCTTCCCGGGCTCCTTTGGGCCCCAACAGTTAAGGACCCACTCGGAGAAGTCCACGCTCCAGACCCACGTTGGGGTGGGGCACCTCTTCCTCTGGCAGCCCAGGTGAGGCTGGGGCTCCCTTGTACCCCCTCACCCATCCTTCCCGAAGCTGGGACGGGAGGGGTGGGGAACTTCCTCTGGGGGGCGCGTGGTGGAGGAGCCCTCGGATGGCTCGTGCAGAGGCACGGGGCCTCCACCCTGCCGCCCCCGCCCCGCCCGCAGGGGCCCTGGTCCTGGGTCGCCTGCCCCCTGCCCCGTGCCCGGAAGCTCCAGGAGGGGGCGCCCCGCTCCGGCTCCCAGCCCGCCCAGGTTCTCCCCGCCCCGCACACACTCACGGAGACACGAGAGCCACCATCTTGGGTGGTGGACGCTCTGGCCGCGGTCTCTTTGGGCTCCGCTGAGCGACAGCAGCCACTAGCGGTAACCCGGGCGAAGAGGCGCCGGCAGCCGGCGCGGACCAGGGTTGCGGGCGGGGCGGGCGGCGCCCACCTGCCGCGGCTTTCGCCCCGCGCGCTTACCGGGCATCACCAGCAGCCTCCTCCCACTGCTTGCGCTGCAGCAGGAGCGACTGAGGATAGAGACGGCAGGAAAGAGGTTTCCCCGGGAGCAGGAGGTACACGAGTTCCTTCATTTATCCCGCGGTCCTAGAGGAGCTCACAGTCAGTGAGACAAACAGGTAGAGCGCTAGGGAGGCTACCGTCTCCAAGAACTCTTGAGAGTTTGGAACCAAGTGCTTTGGGATCACGCAGGAGCCAGCAGTTAGTCTGTGGGTGTAATCGCTTAGGCTTCACAAGAGGATGAACGAAATTGTACAAGGGGAAGGGCATTTCAGCAGTGACAGGGCAGAGCTATACGAGGAAGCTGGAAGTGCAGAGGCTGCGGCGATAGTCACCGAGTCACAGCACATGCACACACACGTGTGGCTGCCTGGCTCCTGGCTACATGCAAAGGAAGTAGGACATCTCAGCCCCCACACTTGACCCAGGACGGCACTACATGGTCTGATGGGTCCAGAATTCTGCACCCCGAAAAGGGTTAGGTGGGGTGTCTTCTCTGATGGCATCTTGCTGCAGAGCAGTCCCCCCCCCCAACCCTGGCGAGTGGTCCACAGTGACACCCCCAGCTCAGTGGATAGCTGCCTCAGGAGGGCTGGTTGTTGACTCCAGTCAAACATACGAACAAACTGAATACAGAAAAGAGGCTGCCTCCAGAAGTCCAACCAAGGCTGGGGGTGGGGACCTAGAGCAGGCGTCTCCTGAAATAACATCACCATGACTGCTGCCCCGAGGCAGAGGATTTGGGGGAACAGCATCCTGCTATTTTGCCATGACTGGAAGAGACGCACACACGCACACATACATGGACACAGGGACACAACTGAGGCCCCTGTCGCAGACGCCGAGGCACATACTTACATACACATTCCCATGGTTAGACCATCTGATTTGTGCAGGTGGTACCCAGGCAGAGACAGGCAAATACCCACACTGGCCGAGAGGCTACGCACGAGCACGCACGTACACGCAGCCGGCAAGAGCAGCAGAGACACTCAGATCATATATGCCCTGAGGGAACAGTGCACAGGGACACGCAGACCTTGTATATGTCTGTGCATATAGAGACAACGGAAAACGATCACTGTGCAGTGCACACACCTCCCAGAGATAGATGCCTATACACAAGCTCACATACAGACACAAATGCCCAGAGGTAGGATGTGCACACACTCCCTGTACAAAAGTGAACGCATTTGACACATACACGAGCTCATATAGGCAAACATAGAGTGTGTCTGTCAGTCTATCTCTCACACATGGGCAAACAAAGTTATAGGGGCCGATGGTGGGTTCCTCCCAGAGGTACACAGACACACACTTCTCAAATAATAGAAAGTTGCCATTTCTGTAACAGATAAAACTAAAACTCTGCCAATAAAATGAGAATCCAGGAGGGAGGGAGAGCCAAAGGCGAGGAGGGGGAGCGTCCAACCAAGACCCACTGCTAGCCCACGTTCTCCAGTACCCCAACCCCCTTCTGGGCCATTCAGCACTCAAGGGCTGTGCTGATGTTCCAGGACCCCACAATGCTGGAGGAAGACCCCAAAGCCCCGCCCCACTGCCTCAGTCCCTTGCTTCCGTGGGAGGGAGTCCCAAAAACAGCCCTTGAAGAGGGTGATGGCTGTCTCCCTTGCTGCTAGGGACTTTGGTGTTGACCCCATGGACACTGCCTGGACCTCAGGTAGGAGCCCACCTTGATTTCTGTCTATCTCCCTGTCTGCTTCTTTCTCTATCTGCTGCCCTAACAAGTCCCTCTTCAGTTCCTTAGGACTTCTCCCCTCCACTCCTTGGAGGCTCCAAGGAGGGGGCTGAAGTTGCAATTTGATACGCAGAACTAGGGAACGCAGGTTCCCTGGACACACTTCTGCCCAGATGTACAGCACTCCTGATTTCTGCAGGGTGGACCTCCAGCTCCCTAACCATTCCTGCCACCCCACCCCATCTTTGTTCACAGCCCAAGTGGGGGCTTCCCTGCCCAGCCCTGGACCTGGGAAAAGGTACCAAGGGTTGACTGGCTATGGGAGTCTCCTGCCAGATGACTTTTGAGGGCCAACAATAGCAGGAAAAGGCGAGGGCTGGGGACGGGAGAGGACCACCCTCGTTGGCCCCTTGTGTCCCCCTCCCCCCCCACCTGCAGCTCAGCCGTCCTCAGCACTCACCCAAGAGCATTCTCTGCCTTCTGAAGCACCGCGGAGTGCTGAGGAGCAAATGAAAGCCAGCCAGAGAGTGACAGAGGGAATGCGAGGACTGGAGGGGAGGGCGAAAGGGAGGGACTCCTGGTCCTGCCTGGGAAGCAGCGTGTTACTGGGCCCTGTCTTCCTCGCCAGGAAGGAGCTGCTATTCCCTGGTTCCCTAGCCCAACCACAGGTGGAAAGACCAGGGCACGTCTCCCCAGGCGTGACAGTAAGGGACAAACGTGGAGACGAGGGGGAGGGTGACAGCAGGGAGGTGACTCCCATTCTGGATAGGTCCCTGCCTCGTGCCTCTTCCACTGAAGGGATGAGTTGACCTTGCCCACAGAGACGTCCAGGGAAGGAGCTGCTGCTAGTCCCTTCTCTGTCTGCTGGAAAGCTTGCAGCTGCAGAAGCACTCGTTCTCCTGGCCAGCCTTCCTCAGCCTCTGCCCGCCATGCCCTTATATGTACCTCATTTTGCTGAAGGGGAGACTGAGGCTCAGAGAGGTGTTATTACTTCATCACAGAGCACTGGCCATGGTGGTGGGAGAAGGGAGCCCAGGTGTCCTGCGTCTCTCAGTCCAGTACCTGGACCCTTGGACTTGCTACCTGGACAATGCCAGGAAGGGGGTGGGGTACTGCTCTGATGAGCTAGAACCCCTGACACCCTCCTCTGCCCCCTCCCAGTCCTGTCTCCTCCGTTTTCTTCTTCCCCCTCCTCTTCAGAAAACCGGCTGTCTGGCTACTTACCTGAGCACCTGGTGGCTGGGAGGGGGGTGGAATGGGAGGAGAGGAGACAGCCAACCCACAGCTGGATCCTGTCTCGCATTCCAAGCTCGGGGTCCCAGTGTAGCCCCCACCCCTCAGTATCCTGTCTCCACCAGACAATAACCTGTAATCTGGGAGCAGCCAATGTCCCAGCCACAAAGAAGGTCTCAGGGAGGGGCTGGCAGCGGCAGCTCCTGAAAACAGGTTTGTTAGGAAGGGGCTCTGGGGGGAAGGAGTTGCTTGTTTGGGAGAGGAAGGAAACTCAAGCCCAGAGCTAATTAACCCACCCAGAGACACAGATGGAGTCTGTCTTCTGTAGGCTAGGGATTTGAGCTAAGCCCCCTAATTCTCTACCCAGACAGGCCAGGCCTTGCCTGGTAGTCCGTGGGGCTGGGGAGGGGGTAGTGCTGATGGTCAGGTTCACACTGGGGGTGGGGGATGATGGGTGTCCAGAGAGAGTGTGGCCACTTTGATCACCTGCCACTTAAGGAGCCAAGAATAACAGCAGGAGGCACTGGTTAGACTTCAAGAAGTACTTCTAGTGGCCTTGGGGGGAGCACAGTTTCTTTGAAACATGCACCCAAAGGCCAGGATGTGGGGGTTGCTGAGGAGGAACCAGCAACCCAGGGAGACACTAAAGAGAGAGGGACTGGCTGGAGGGCTTCCTGGGCCTCCTGATGGGACTGAAATTAATCCATCTGCGGGGAGTAGGGGGTGAGGAGCTCATCAAACTAGTGACTCAGGCGTGACCTGAGCTCAAGGTCTTTGATCTCTAGATCCCAGAAGGCAGCCAGAGGCTTCTGGAGTCAAAGATTTGGAGAGGAGATGGAAGACTGATTAGGGTGCGGGTAGGGGACAGCCTCAGCCTGCCCCCCTTTGACCTCTCTCCCACCCCTCCATCCTCCAAAAGCATAGGAAAGTCTGTTGCAGCCGCAGCCATCTTTGCCCTGAAATCCATAATAGTCTGACTCCACATCTGCTTTCCTGTCCGCCCTTAGTGTCTATGCTGCACTCCCCACCCAAGGCCTCTCTGGCCATTTCTGTAAACCAGAGCTTAAGGCATTCCCGAAATCCCTTTCTGTCCCCTTCAGCGTCATGTTGCAATGGATGATGGAGGACAGGAGGTGTGTGCACTCTGAATCCTTTGGCTGGGTCAGTCCCGCCAGAGACAGGAGAAGGGACAAGATGGCTTTAAGAGGCTCCCCTCCCCCTCCCTAGCCAACCTAGGCAAAATGGGGGAGGCCAGAGATGGCTGGCACCTTCCCATTTTTCAGCTGATGACACCAAGGCACAGGGCAGAAGAGTGGCCGAGGGTCCTGAAGCACTTGTGGAATCATCTGTCCTGAGAGCTTGTTTGCCTTCTCTGGACAGCCCCTTCCCACTCCCCAAAAGTTAATGCACAATCTCTGTTAATATATGTTGTTCTCAGGTGCAAGAGGGGCAGGGGACGTGTGATACAGGATTTAGAGTCAAACGCCCGGATCTGGACCCACGGCTGTGTGGCCTTGGGTATGTTCCTTAATCTCTCTGAGCCCTGATAGCCTAATTTGTAGAATGAGGACTGTATGTCGTCATCGGCTTCTAGGATGGCTGTGTGAAGAAGGAATGGGATGCAGATGTGGGAGGACTTTGTAAATGGTTCAGCTCTTAAGCAGATGCTCACCCTGGGGCTGGAGTAGGTTACAGCTCCTGCCCAGGTATTCCCCAGGTGCTGACCCAACATCCATATCACAGGTTAGAGCTAGGAGCAGTGAGCCAGCAAACCTTTCTCTCTTTGCAGATGTTTGAGAAACATCCAAAGTTGTTGTTTAGATGTATGTGTGTGTGATGGTCAATAGGGTCACTGACTTCAGCCTTATAGGGGTGGTGCTGGTGCCCAC